ACAAGTTTCGATAGGTGGTATGATGCTTCGGGGTTAGATTTGACAGTGGAAAATTTGAAAGAATTTATTCTAGTCAACAAGGTTTTGACCTCAGTCCATAAAATTTTATTTGGTTATCTCCAAGAAAGGAAACCCAGAACCTTAGCTGCATGTACTGACCTATGGCAAAAATATCAGGCTGCCCATCCAAATAAAACCATTAGGAAAGAGACAGAATATGGTCATATGTTTTTAGCTCAGGGAGTAGAAAGAAATTGTAGTAAAATGGTAGACAACAAGAAAATCAGAAGGAATAATGCAAGTCCAAATGTAGTTTTCCAGGGATCATATAATTGTTATAATTGTCAAAAGGCAGGTCATTTAGGGAGGAAATGTACTGATAGGGTTAGAGTTAGGGATGAGGTAGGAATTAGACCACAAATTAGATGTTTTGGTTGTAATAGGTCTGGGCATATGAGGAAAGATTGCAGGGAATTTCAAGAGTCAGGGAGAAATAGTTATAATCAAGACCAGGATAGTGTATACATAGCAGTGTTAAATAAAAATTGCCAGGGGATGAATACTTTCAAAGCTTCTGTGAATAGGATGAATACAGTGACAATCAGGGATACTGATGCCTCCATTATTGCTGTTAGAGATACATTTGTTAAATCCCATCAGTACACTAATAAAAGGAAGCGTGTGAATGTGTTCGGAGGTAGAAGCTATAGTTGGCCTGTGGCTAGAGTTTTTGTCAGATCAAAACAGATTACCGGATATGTAGATGCTGTGGTTTTTAGAAAAGGCCCGTATGACTTGATAATAGGAAATGTTCCTGGGGTAAGAGATTATAATGGAAGTAGAAAAGTCCAGAACTTAGAAAACAAAATCAGCATCCTTGAAAAGGAAATAGGAAAACTTGTTGGTAAAGTACATGAGTTGACCAGTCTAATAAAGTATGATGGCTCTGACAAGGTAGATGGCACTAAGATTAATATAGGAGATAGGAATCAGAATAGAAATAGAAACAGAAAGTGGTGTAAGAAAGATGATACAGAACAAAGTAAGGCACAATGTTTTATGGCTAGTGATGGGGATGGGGAATTGAATGACTTACAGTGTGCTCTAATGACCTCTGCTGATGGAACTGAGACAATAAAAATTAATGATCCAAATTGTGTTTGGGCTGACATATTTAGAGCAAATTTGCCTGATCCTAGTGATTGAATTTTAAAAAAACAACTGAGGTAATTGTCAAAGAAAAGAATGTAGTGTAAGGTATGTTATATATATATAAACATGTTGATATGTTGAGGTGCTTGGTTGATAGCACTCTGAGTTTTGTTTGATTAATATATGACGATGTTGGTTGATGAAGCTTTGACATAAAAGTTGTTCTAGAGATATTATACTTATGATAATGGTAAATAATGATATGATAAGTTCTTTTTTGTTGTTGCATGATGATTACACTAATATTATGAACTAATGATGTCTATAGTCACTTTGAAGGGGTTTGATTGCTTATGATATGTGTTGATGTGATTATGTTTACTTCCCTAGGTTGATGAGAATCTTAAGTTACCTGATTCATGATGTGGAAATATTTTGTTGTACTAAAATGATATACTGAATTGATTATTTTTCTAGGTTGAGAGAAGTCTTTATGCTGAGTTGATATGGTTATATCATGTGTTAATAGGACTTTATTACAGGAGCTGGGAGATCCAGTGCCATGTTGATTAAGCTGTATTAGTGATATTGCATGTAAAGATGTGAACAACCACAGATGTCCACTAAATGGTGGCACTGGGGGCTCTGTTTGCCATCACAGGTTGTGGTGGTCTAAACTAATGGGATGTTGGGTATAATTTTTCTTTTATAGCTACTGGTGTCAAGAGATGGACATTGCAGAGTATGATGATGATGAGAAGTGTGTGAAAACCCAAGAATACTTATCTGAGGGAGAGATTTCAAGAGAAACTATTTGTTGAATGCGAGTGATTAAAATAAAATTGTGTGGGAGTAAAATTACAATGCAATGTGATAATTAGGATTGGGAAATAGAATGAATGTTAATGTATAGCACCTAGTTGATATTGTTAGATCAAAAGTATGTTGGAGATGATATTTGATATGTTGGTAGAAATAAGTTAGACTTGATGAAAATGGTTGAAGCTAATGGGATTAGCTTGAATAGAGAGGGGGGTAATGTTATGATGTATGTTTGACTGGGGAAATCGGTGCGCATGGTTGATGGTGCGGCCGTATATTGAACGAGTGAATGTGTGATGCGATACGAAAGATAGTGACGTTTTAGGTTAGAGAGTTGGTTGCTATGAGTTTATGTGTGAGCAGTTGAATCCTTATCGTCGGTGTGAGAGGACGTGTGTTTGTTGACAGGACTCAAGTTGAGAGATAGGGTTTAGGAAGATAGACATCTGTAGATACAAGATTAAAAGATTTGCACAAGGATTTCTTGGTTCATCTTATTCCTGATCGTTTATCGTTGATCTGTCTGAATGTAACATAGCTTTAGTGACTCTCAAGGTTTAATACTCTCTCCCTGGTATTGGAGACGAGTGAAATGGTAGTTGGCTGAGTCAAGTAAATCAAACCCTCTCACAGCAACCTAACCGTAACACATATGTTCATAGCCAAAGTTCCAAAACACTGTTTTGAAAAGAGCTATCGATTTTTGGAAAATTAACAATGTTTATATAGGGAAACTTCGGACCGGTCAGTTCTAACGGTCTTCCGGCGAGATTTCCGGAACATATCATAATTTTTTTTGCCATCCCCGAGGGTCGGTCTACGACCTCAAGAGTTGTGAAGAGGTTCCTACGTGGGAATTTGTTTTCGATATATAGCTCATAAAAGGCGCCGGTCAGTCGAAATCAGTTTTGACCCCTTTTCGTGGACTTGTTGGCCAACCGGCACTGCCCCCCGTGTTCTGTCGCCCCAAGGCACGATACTGCCAAATTTGAAGCGCCTGCGCCGCCTGGAAGTGCCCTACCGGGCACCCGACCACTTTGCTTTATAAATATTGATTACATTCCTATTCATAACTCTGCTATTGGTGATTTATTTTGTTCTCCTTAATCGACGCTGTCAATTCAATACTTTGCTGTTTGAATTAACAACAAGATATAATAACTGGTATGGATATGACAGTGTTATAAAGTTATAAGTCCATTGTTGATGCTAGTGGGTTATCCCCCCAACCCTCTCGGTCGCCTGGTCTTTGACCTGAATACATCCCAGCTGACCTGGGATGCAAATTTTGGAAAACACGTAATGAGATACCTTATTGTGTTTGGGTGGTGAGGGCCAGAGAGATAGGACAGTTCAACTTTAGCCTTGCTAGAATATAAACGTGTTTTGTTTTGTCAAGTGTGGTAGGGCTGGCCACTAAGGCCGGGCGCTTCTAATGAACAAGTTCTCTTCCTTTTTAGGCCATATTAAGACTATCATGTAGTGTTTAGTCTCACCATCTACCAAATTAAAGTTGCTGTGTTGAAATTGTTTTGGTGTCTTTTCTTTAACCTCTCACTGCAGCCAACAGTACCAACCATACTGATGACTTCATAACAGACAGAATGAACTATTCTATGAAAGAGCTATTGGTAGAAATGCGATTATATATTAATCAGTAAATATGTATTTTACTTCCTGGATGAATAAGCCTGCAATCGGAATATTTAGTCGGTAAAATCTGTACATTCGTTACCTTCCTTTTGCCTTTAAACGTAGGCTTACGTTGAAAAAATATCAATGAGATATATTTCCTATAACAAAGGTTGAAAAATTACAGTACAACGCCCAAAACATAAGTGTTACCAATCAGGACGTAACAATAAGCACACCATGAAGGTAATCAGAAAGTAAAAAAAATATATAAAACGTCCGCAGCTTTGTTGAGTGTTGGTTTCACATGGTCACAGCCCACCTATCACAAATATAAAAACCCACACAGATCAAAGATCTGTTCATAAATATCCTTTTAGCAAACGGAGACTCCGTTGGCTAACGCAACAAAAAATCCCCACTTTTTCTCAAACTACCGGGTTCAATTAGACATCCTGCTTTACTGCAGTAGATGTTTGATTCTAGACTTATTCTTATCCTTACCCTAAACCATACCCTCACCCCTTACCTCTTTTCCTTACCTTTTACCCCTTACCACTTACCATTATAATTACCATTATAATTAAGTTTATAATAACCATGACCATGACCATGACCATGACCATGACCATGACCATGACCATGACCATGACCATGACCATGACCATGACCATGACCATGACCATGACCATGACCATGACCATGACCATGACCATGACCATGACCATGACCATGACCATGACCATGACCATGACCATGACCATGACCATGACCATGACCATGACCATGACCATGACCATGACCATGACCATTGCCATTGATATTGCCATTGCCATTGCCATTGCCATTGCCATTGCGATTACCATTACTCGTATCCTTATAAGATTAGCAACATAATACATAAACTACTCAGATCGTTTAAGGGATAGTTCATATTGACAGGAGACGATATCGGAGTAAATCGGATAAATTGGAATTACAATTCTTGTATTAAAGTATACTGAATAATTAACTTAAGCAACATTTATAGTTAATGTTAGGCCTTTTAATACTGAACGCTGTCTAATTATTTCTAAAGGTCTATAAAACATTACCACTTATCTGTGTGTCGTATTTTTGTTTATTTATTCTATAATTTCAAACATTAAACAATATAGTATATAAATTAACATAGTAAAAAATAGAACCTTGCTAAAAGTAAAGAGACTATGTTGGCATAATAGTTGGTTTTGTTATCTACAAAAGCATGATTGTTACAACAGAGAAACAAATATAAACCTACACAATGAGAGATATTCTAAACTGATTTTATGTTTTATTTTCAAAGTAAATGTTTTTAAAAAATCTGAACCTTTATCTTAATAGTAAACTTAAATCAGTTTAAACGTAGTTATGTCAAAGTGTATAAGAGAATCTCTGTGAACATTTTCCTTTCAGTTCTAGTTAATAACTTGTATTTATTCTACCAATCGTGTTCTTAGTTTTTCCGTCAGCGAATAGTCTAAGAAATTTCCTCTGGTAACAACAATGTTATCCTCCAAAACAACTCTCGACAGTTCCGCTGGCAGACGGTGACGTAACTGGTCCTCAACAAGAACGACAATCCTTTTAGGGTTAGCAGACGTCAAAGCAGATGTGGCTGCTCTACACATGAACAAGAACCAACGGTCAATTGACAAAAACGTTTCGTTCGTTGACAACCAGAAGAACGCGCCAACTTCTGTCTATTGCATGCACAGTGGCAGTGGTAGAGGCAACGTCAGTTGAAGGTGAGAGGACACGTGCCTTTGTATCTTTTTGAACTATTCTTTATGTCTTGTGTGAACTTGCCTATGAATCTTGTTTAAACTATTCTTTATGTCTGTACTTGTGTGAACTAGTCTTTAAAATGGTTAGGCTAGTAATCGAGTTCTCAGCTTATCCGTGACGTCATACTTGAGTCTCCTCCCCTCGTTCATGACGATGATGTTTTCCTCAGACACCGCCCCCAGGATGTCACGTGGTAAACGATGACGTAACTGGCTGTCAACCATAATCACAATAAGATTAGGATTAGCGGGCGTCAGGTTGGATATGGCTGACCTGCATGTGTAGAGGAACCAATCGTCTTGCGAGAGAAAAGTTTCGTTCACGACCAGAAGCACGCGCCAACTTCTATTTATAGCATCGATAATCCCAGACGCCAGGTCGGTTGAAGGTGAGAGGTCACGGTCACGAATAAAGGTCGTTAACCCCAGCGTGGCCTCGATAAACTGCCTGAGGTCATGACAAGCTAACTGGTAATCTCTATCAGCATAACCAATGAAGACACCAATCTCGTAGTTGGAAGGTTTCTTTAGAAAGGTTTCACTAAACAAATTCAGCAGCCCAGAAATGATGTACGTTTTGTACTTGGTAACAAAAAAACACAACACAAATCCAATGATAAGCAAGCAAAACAGGATCACAGAAAGATACAGGAAAAATGTTCCCCAACACTGACGCCAGTAAATTTGTAGATCTGAAAGAGCTGTCGTGTATGTTAAAACTCCATCGTTATCAACGCACGAATAGTTCCTGAACATATCCATATTTACAACTGTCAACTGTATCCACTGTAAGAATTGGATGTCATGGCATCCACAAGATAAAACATTTCCTTCTAAATAAAAGCTGAACTCCTTGTTTTCTTTAAAAATTTTGTCCAAATTATTTCTTATTTCGACAGGAAGTCTCGTCAATTCATTAAATCTCATGTCCAAGACACTCAGCCTAGGAGTGTTCTTCAAACTAAATGGAATTTTCTTGAACCTGTTTCCTGCAAGAAAAAGCTCTTTGAGATTGACATTTTTGGAGAAAATTTCAGGGCTAAGAAACGCCAGTTGATTAAAAGACAGATCAAGCTGCTTTAAATATTGAAGATTCTGGAACAATCTTCCTCCAGACTCTGCCATAAACTGACCACTGAGCTGACAACTTGACAAGTCCAGTGTCTCTAAACTTGGCATCGTGTCGAAGAATGTTCTGTTGATAACTGTAAGTTCACTGCCTGATAGAATAAGAGCTTTTATATTTGTCAGTCCGTGTAGGTGATGGGTAAACATTGACCCGCCGCCATCCGATACATCTAGATAAACGAGATTATCAGCGTATACAAACGTTCCATTCGATTCAATCGAAAAATCCGTGATTAAATTTCCAAAGTTTAAACATCGAAGAGACTTGGAAATGTATAACTTATACCCGTTGCTAATATTAGACGTGAACATGAAGCTACTATCGTTTAGATTATAGTTAAAGTTGTAGTTTTGAGTAGGGTTAGACGTTCTGCACATATTGCCATAATCAGTTTTCAACAGAGAATTTTTAGCAGCCTGTGGTTTTGAGTAGTCATGAATGATTAACGTCTCTAAGTTACTCATCTTAAACAAGTGTAAAACGACAATTTTCGTTCCCATTATAGGGTTATTTGTAAGGTCCAAGCTCTTCAGGCAACGATCCCACGTTTTACTTGTTACAGCCTTGTCTAGAATGATGTAAAGTTTACAATTAGTTAAAGCGACATGAGCAACACATATCTGTGTCAAATATTGTGTGTGTTTACGGCTTAAGATACCGTCACCTTGAAGAATATCCGAATATCTATCATGGACGAAAAATCGAACATAATCTAAGACGATGGTATCCATGGATTGGCCTACTAGCCCACTTAAACTTGCAAGAACTACTTTTAGGTGGACTCGAAGATCGCTGATATAAAGCTGGTTTAAATTTGTCAGTGGTTGGAAAACACCAGTATCGATTTCTTTTATCGTTCGAATTACGCTTAGATCAAGTAGTTTGAGATTTCTTAAATTTATAAAACTATCTTTTGTTACCTTTCTTATATTTCCTCTCAGTTTTAATTCAGAAAATGTCTTTAAACTTCTGAAATTTTCACCGAAATTGAGTAATTCATAATCAACGCTTACTGTCAATGATTTCAAGTTTAAAATGCTTGAGAACGCTTCAATGGGGTAGGGTGTAATTGGCAGTTTTACATCTTGTAGCATAGACAACTCAGTCAGATTTTCAAGAGAAGCGAATGTGTCGTTAGACATGTGGTGTATCTCTAAGGGATTGTAATCGAGATTTAGATATTCTAACTGCCCTAACCCTGAAAAAGTATCTGGTTGTAGATCTGTAATGCTGTTGTATGACAAGCTGAGACGTCGAAGATGACTTAGGTGGTCAAAGGTCGCGGGTACAGAGGTCAACTGGTTGCTATCTAATAAAATGGACATCGTATTCTGGGGAAACCAGGTAGGTAAAACACCTGTCAGCTGTAAGGAACGACAGTCAATTGTAAGTCCTGTATTCTCCACCCGTTGTGAACATGGCGAGTGGCTGGGTACTTTAGGAGCTGCGTGACTCGGTTGCTGACTCGTAAAGTCATCATTGGAATGAGATCTGCTTGTTGATAATATGAAGCACAAAACTCGGTTTGTCGAACATAGGAGTAAAACAATTAAGCACGAGTAATTAAGGGTGAGTTGTATCAGGTTTTTAATCCTCATCTTCGTCTGTAGCGGCTAGCACAAATATTGATCTTTTAAAAACTTGAAACCTTAACATCTACTTTCTTGGAAGTTTGTTTTTTATTTCGGTTTTATACTTTTTAATATTTGATTGGGTGTTTACCTGAAAATACATAATTGAAAAAATATATCTTTGTAGCGAAATGTAAAAATTAATTATCTACTTTACTGTTATTATTTTTAGTGGGTATAAAAGTACATAAAAATAAATTTGAATTATCTTTATTCTGATTTTTATAAATGCCCATAAATATAAAAATTTTTTTTTTGCTAGAACAGAAATCGTTTGAATTGATTTAGTCATCAATTTTTGTAAAAGATGTCAAAGTCCTTTCAAGGTAGAGGCTTATTACGTAAACAGTTTTATTTTTTTTTAATTTTTTTTTTTTTACAAATATACAAAGTGGAGAATTATACTTGCATTACTGCAATCCCCCTTAAGAAACGTCTTATGCAAATGGTTGTCAGCGGGACATTACATTACCCACCTCCATCATCCCCCCCTCCACACACACACGGAAAATTATTCATTAAGAGATAGAAATACGATCGAATAAGCATAAAGATTAGTAGGTGTTAGGGTTCAGGATTAGGGTTAGGGTTAGGGTTCAGGGTTAGGGTTGGGGTTAGGGTTAGGGCAAGGGTTCAGGGTTAGGGTTGGGGTTAGGGTTATCGGTTTTCGGTTAGATTTAAACTTGAGAAACTTCCCTAAGAAAATAGAAATTTTGAAACCGATGTTTGTGTAGTTTGTTTTATATTCAAGTTTTAAAATTGATTTTAGTGTCATTCTTGATCTGTAGAGGGAAATAATTACTTTGGTTGGTAATGACAGGGAGGTAATTGCTCTGGAATGTAACGACGTTGTTGAGTGGGGGGGGGGGGGGGGGGCTGGGAAAAGTCCGGCGTTAATTGGTTAATTGACTATATTGAGTATCATTCTGGAATTAAATGGTTAGTTAATTTGGATACAACGAAGTCTGAAATCATTGTAAGCCGAGTATTCAAATAAATGCTTAAAAAAACCCACAAAACATACCAAATTGAAGACTGCTAAGTTTGACCTGTTGTCGACTAGACTTACTAAGAACACAGAAGCCTTAAAGCCACATCTAATAGTGGCCACTGACGGAAGTTTAAAGACGACGACGCTATCTACAATGTTGTAAAGTGGGCTGCCACGCTCTGCTAACCCTTCTTACAAAACCAGAAAGATAATAATAGCTTTAAAATTACGGATGTCTCAACTTACAAGCAGACATTTATATATTATTTTAAACACCCCAGGGTATCAAGGAAGTGAAATATCCCATACATTTTAAATTTATATGTCGTAGATGTAGATTCAATATTTCCCTGACAAGCATGTAAATTAGTATCTGTTAAATTTAAGACCTTGGAATTAGCTGTTGAAACACCGAGCTGGGGGAACGATTAACAGAAAAAATATTTATAAACCTGGACATTTGAAAATAAACTTTTTACTTCCTTGGTAAATAATTTCAGAATCGGCCTACTTAGACCATTCTAAATAGGTTTTTTTGATTGTATGTGTTAAAAGATGAATGTTATTCACTAGGTTTTTCGATTGTATGTGTTAAAAGATTAATGTTATTCACTAGGTTTTTCTATTGTATGTGTTAAAAGATGAATGTTATTCACTAGGTTGTTCGATTGTATGTGTTAAAAGATGAATGTTATTCACAGTCCCGTGTCCTAAATATCAGCAGGGTAAAGGCCAAGCACAATAACAAGAACCTGCCAACATAAATTAGCCCCTACCCCTCCCAACCCACAAAGTTTTAGTAAAATAACATGGCAGTTAGTTTAACAAACGCGAGATATTTTAGACAGCAGATTCTGCAGCTTCATCAAGCCGTATCGAGCATTAGATCTGGTTCCTTCAATATTTCGCCAGCAGTGACATCATTCTATTACTAAATGTACGGAAAACCCAGGTGTCTTAAAATGCAACTTAAAACGAACACAAAATAAAAAAAAATGCAAACACTATCTATAATTTCCACTCAAATTAACGGGGTTTCAGGTGGAGGAGGAAGTGGGGGTGGGATTAAAACTTTAAGGAGGGTGATAAAGGGGAGGCACTTTAAATTTCTCCTAAAGGGGGGGGGGGGGTTCACGTGAAACTTCCGAGGGCCGAGGGGTTGCAACATCAAAAGCAATTAGATGCTTAAAACAACATTAAAACAAAACTAAATTTTAAAGAAATATTTAAATGTGTAGAGAACCGTAATGCTAATGACAATGTGCAGCTATACATATAGGTTTGTATTTGCTAAATAAAATTACAAAAATTTATTTTTAAAAATTAGAATATTAAATTATTTAGGGTAAAGGAGGGCGTTAAGAGCCGTGTGGTATTAAGCCCCAATCAACACCCCACCCCCACAAACCCTCCAATAACACTGCTAATCTACTTCTGAGGTAACAACCACTGCTGTTCTTTGATAACAGAGAAGCAGAGGATTCATTTTATGTAATTTATGACCCACTTGGTCCAATAGGGAGAGGATGAGACAGGATTTAATCCCACTGCTCTTTCCCTAAAATTTCTCATCTCCATAAAACCATTTTGTGAACTTTTTTTCCAAATAGACATAACTTGGGAAACTTTACTTTGTAATAAACCAAATGAGTTTTTCAAGCCCATTCTTTGTTCCTGTATTAGAGCATTGGTTGTTGTACATTTTAACACTATTTTTATAGCTATGGCTAGAATAGTTTTATTTTGGTGAATTTTTTTTTGCACAGTGATTATTGGTGCCAAAACAAAATGGCCGACATTTGTCCCATTTTACCATGCTATAAAGTTTTTATCATTATCAGAGTAAAACTTGACTGATCATTACCATAATGGTTTTATTTGTTAGATAATAACTAAATCTACATGAATACATTAATTTTGTCCACTAGCTTGCCTGTTTAGAAAAGTTATAACAGATACTGTTATGTGGCTCTTGAAACCCTAAGTGCAAGTTTCTTATTTATTAGACCACTGAATATGACACTGGTATAGGAATAGTTAACACAAAATGTATTAATTATTAAACAGACTTGTGTCTAAATGATAGAAATACAATTCTAACCTGCTAAAAAGTAAAAATTCAGCCATCTGATGTTAGCAAGGTTATTTTTAAGATGGTACAGGTACTTATTACCCCTAAGGGGCAATACAGCCGACTCAGCCCCCACCTGTTTCTAACCAACCATAAAACTTCCAATCTCTTTGTAGGTAACAGGAATAAATGCTCTTAGGTCTCAGCCAATCTGGGGTGGTTTGTTATGTAATTTATGACCCTCATGGTCCAGTAGGGAAGTAAACAGACACATTAATACCACTGCTCCCCCCTTACAATTTCTTACCCCCATGATACCCAGCCCCCACCAGTTTCTGGCCCACTATAATACTTTATCTCTTTGTAGGTAACATGGATTACAGTTACAGATCTCAGACAATCTGGGGTGGCATGTTATGTAATATATGACCTTCATGGTCTAGCAGGGTGGAGACCAAAGAGGAATCGGTACCACTGCTCTCCCCTTACAATTTCTCACCTCCATGATAGCCAGACCCCACCTGTATCTAACCCACCATAAAACTTCATCTCTTTGTAGGTAACATGGACTAAGTTCTTAGATCTCAGCCAACCAGAGATAGCATCTCCTTATGTAATTTATGGCACTCTTGGTCCAGCAAGGAGAACAAAGGGGAAACCAGTACCACTGCTCTCCCCTCACAATTTCTCACCCCCATGATACCCAGCCCCCACCTGTATCTAACCCACCATAAAACTTATCTCTTTGTAGGTAGCATGGACTTAGTTCTTAGATCTCAGCCAACCAGAGATAGCATCTCCTTATGTAATTTATGGCCCTCAGGGTCCAGCAAGGAGAACAAAGGGGAAACCAGTACCACTGCTCTCCCCTCAACATTTCTCACCTCCATGTCATGTTATGTAATGTATAGCACACATGGCTTATCAGGGGAAAGCATTAAGGCAGATTAGTTAGTACCACCCCTTTTTACATACAAGAATGTTAACTCTGGACAGTTACACACTAGTATACTAGCTACACACTAGGCATACTAATGTGCCTACTGTAAAGTACTAGACTTTAGGGCTTAGGCCCTATGTACACCTGCAATTGTATCAATTGTAGACTGGGCCCATTGGGGCCTAGTGATAGCTAGTATCAGTTAAAGTGTGTGTACACAGCATTAACTATTTTGGGGTTAGAAATTAATTATTTTTATTGCGGAGTTAGTCTAAACTAGGAGATAATACTTAATGCCCCATTGCCCGGCTCCTTTCACCCCAAATGCTGATTTTGGGGGTATGACAATAAATGTTCAATTAAACCCATTTAAAGTATATTTAATACACTTTGTTATTATTTTTATATTGTGTAAGATATGTTAGAATAATTTTGCCATATTTTCAATACTAAAAAATTCTTAGATTAGTAGAAGTCTTTAAAAATGTACAGGTGCTAAAAAGTGTGGCTCTTAACGCCCTCCTTTACCCTAAAAATAGTTGACATAACAAGACTATTCCTACAGCCTGTAGCACAAATAATACTGGAGCATAACGGCTGACGTACGTGACGGATCCAGCAAGTAGTCCAAACTTTGTTATTTACTCGTAGCATCTGATTTAGAGCATGACATAAATGAAAACAAAAAATCAACTTCAATGAAAATAACACTAGGGAAACTAACCAATAGAATTATAAAGTTAGGTTTTTACTGGGTTCCTCCCCCTTTAAAGATTGATTTATTGAAACGGCATCTATTGAGTATGGGACCACAAAATAGAAGTTTTAAAACTTCAAAGCTAATTAAAAATCAATAGGGATAATTTACACAACACACGTATCATACATTTTTGATGAAAAAAACACTACATATATATTACACATTGTGCTAAATCCGTAGTCTATAATGTCATAGTTCTTGTGCCATTACGAGTGACAAATAGAGAAAGGAATAAAAATTAATATCATGATATGAGCAAAAGTTGATAAAATATACAATTTTAGTAATCATACAACCAGGAATCTAGTTAAAGTATGATAGAGATGGGGTGAATTATTCCCGGGTTATGTCCCTTTATGTGGACAGATTCGATATTTTAGTTGTATATTTGGTAAGGGTCGATAATCGATTTTCTGATGGGAATGTGGACTATTTTCCTATTATCCTACTCGATTTTTTTTTCTCCAGTACGATTGCTGTGTAAGCAATTATTGAAAACTGAATGAGTAGGGGGTATGGGTGAAGTGTCAGCCAGTGAATCGTGTCATTACAATGTTTATTTTTGTAGGTTTTGTGACTGTTGAGTAGGTAAAGCTAGGTGTAAAGTAGCCAAGATACCTTTCATGGTGAGTTTTTGGGTGTGTTTTGTGTCATCGTCTGTGTTTAACTTGGTTACATGTGGGTCTCAAAGTTAAAATATGTTTTGAAGTGTTCCGATAAAAAGATTTTTAAAAAGAGTTAATGACAGTGAAAAAATATATTAAAGCTGAGTTTACAGTTATATATACATAGACTTGACAAGGGAGACAAGAATACATAGTCTTGAAAAGGGAAACAACAGTACATAGACTTAACAAGGGAAACAATACATAAGCAATGTATTTCTCACCTTAGTTTATGGGTATCATGTGGTTGGCATGTAAAGAAGGTGATTGTGCAGGTTGTATCTAGACATGCATTGATCTATGTTGGTTGTTTAACCCCTGACGACCTTTCATGATTTGAATAACAAGACGTAAACAACAGATTGTGTCACTATACAGCTGGGGAGGTTAGAGTGTAACTCGGACATGTATCTGATTTAACATGCACTTCTTTAGAAAACATGGCTATACGAATCTTCTAGACTTTTCTGATTGTGCGTGTGTGTGTTAGAGAGTCTTTATTTGAGTAAATGCGTTTATGTGTGTACGCAATGTGTGTGTGTGTGTGTGTTTGTGTGTATGTGTGTCTGCGTATATGCGTGTGTGTATGTTTGTGTGTGCGTATATGCATGTGTTTGTGTCGACTATAGATCTAAAAGCTCAATTTTGTGTTACTGGGTTGTTTGCAAACTTTTTTTCTTTGGACGTGTCATAGGGTTAGGTTTTTGGGTTTGGTTTGCGTGTTGGCTTTTTGTAAACTTTTTATCTTTGGACGTGTAATAGGCCACTCGTCACAACAGAATGCCGATGAGATAGCCCCAATTTTGTTTTGGTTAAAAGTGATTTAAACATTGGTTAGTAAACCTAAAATATTGGTTGTTATTTTTAACTTTACAAACTTGATACACAAGACACATCAACAAATGTTCTTCTGATTACAAGTTTAAATACCAGTACAATTAATTTTTTTAAATGTAATTAATAAAACTCTACTTCATTATTCCCACCAGTTTGTGGTATTTAGCGATGTGACTTATGATCTATTTAAATCAATGAATTGGAATAATTAATGCGACATAGCCCAACAGCGGAGCGAATGTTGAAGGCCATAGGCTGTACATTTACAATTCTAATATCCGAGGACTCAGTTATTTATTGGTCGGCCAAGTGTTCTAAGAGGCCAAGTTCCCACCTGGTATAGGAAGGTGTCCGCTGTTACATGGTGTAGTGAGGTTGCGTTTTTACTAGTGTAGCTAGGTGGCCTTACCTGGTGTAGCTAGGTGGCCTTACTTGGTATAGTGAGGTGACAGTTTTTACTAGAGTAGCTAGGTGGCCTTACCTGGTGTAGCTAGGTGGCCGTTGTAAGCCTTATCTGGTGTGATAGACAGGGCCGTTACACAATTCAATATTTGTAATTTAGGTGACGAGAAGGGAAGACAAACCGAAAAATCTTTAGGTGTCAAAAGCAAGTTAGTTGCAGAAACATGTTTAGTCCTATTGTTTTATGTTTTCTCTTTCTGTGGGGAACACATTCTGGTAAGTTTTTACAAGCTTTTATTTAACTTGCTTCCTCTGCCTGTCTGTCGTGCTTTTTGTCATTATAGATCGAAACAGGCAATCGAAATTTTGGGCACTTCTAACCAACCAATTTCTCTGAAATTGGGCGAGTGGATAAAGATTTAAAATCAGTGCGATATGACATCAAAGTTGACGTAATTGGGAGGCTAATTAATTTTTTATGAATCAATTAAAATTTCTGAAATTAGTGGCAGCCTTACTACTCTTTTCGCACTATTATAAGTGTATTTTCATGTTCTTTATCTGTGCAATAGTTTTTAGTCATGCAGCCCTATTGTAATTTTTTTTTTAATTTAAGTAGCCTGCTGAAAAAAAGTGCATAAAAAACGTTTTAATACAAGCTTTTATGTAATAATGCGCTAAATATGTTAAATTACTTTATTTTCTTTAAATATATAACAATACACCACTATTTCAATAACTATAAATAAAAGCGTGGGTCTCTTCCTAAATATTAGTAAATGTATTCAATAGATAATATAGTGACGCACACTTGTCTTTATCGTTATTTAAATAATGGTGTATTATTATAATATTAAAGAAAATCAGTAAGTAAAAGATCTAAATCACTGCCATCAGTCAAATTTTGAGTAAATTCCGATGACCGGAAGTAGTAATTTACGCTATTTCCGATTTCTCAAAAAAAGAATGTTAATTTATAAATTACTAATAATATTCCGTACTATTATACAATTTTTTTTGGCGTTCACTTGGTGCGCAATTTTTTTTCTACAAGATTCTATTCTATTTTTAAAAAGTTTAAGTAATTAAAAATGGATTAAAAATATTGTCTTTATCCCGAGTTGCCATCACCCTTTGTGTTATAAGAATATTCGAGAAAGTTTAGGGGAGATCACTCCCAGTTTATTTTTTTAATTATGTAGCAAAGGTCATCTTTAGTAGAATCACTTCAAATTTATAATTTATACATTCAGAAAAGATTACAAATTTATGTCAGGGTATTTAAAAGTCGTTGCGGATAATCCCCGGATTAGAGAAACGTGCACTACCTTGAGAGATTCTGTTTGGGCTTTAAATTTTTGATCTGGACATACTAGGGCGTGTATGATCAGATTACAATCACTATATGAGATAAACAAAAGTACGTGGGGTACGTGATTGCTTCACGTCGTATTTTAAAACACCATCAGATGGTGATATGGTAATATGGTAATATGGTAATATGGTAATGATTTCATACGGGGCTAGGGTGGAGGTAACGCGATGTATTTTTTAATAACTTTATCTAACTGAAGATCTCAGAAGTTAGTAAAGATGGGTGGTGCTAGATTCAATCTGCGAGAGATCAATGTTAAATACATTGAGGAAAAACGTGTTTTTAAATTTTATTTTGTTTTCAAAGCGGCTGCAAACAAATTTAAAAAGCGAACTTAAGCTTTAAAATCATTCAGAAATTTTGTATTTTTATAATCAATGTTGTAAAAGTTGCAAATTCAGGGAACTTGAAAGTAAAGTGGTTTTTTTAAAGCAACATTTCTATTTATTTTCATCAAACCTAAGCTATGAATAATTCATCTACTTACTTCTAACAAAATGTCTCACAATTCACCAATTCACTTCCAACAAAATGTCTCACAATTCACCAATTCACTTCCAACAAAATGTCTCACAATTCACCAATTCACTTCCAACAAAATGTCTCACAATTCACCAATTCACTTCTAACAAAATGTCTCACAATTCACCAATGCATTTCTAACAAAATGTCTCACAATTCACCAATTCACTTCCAACAAAATGTCTCACAATTCACCAATTCACTTCCAACAAAATGTCTCACAATTCACCAATTCACTTCCAACAAAATGTCTCACAATTCACCAATTCACTTCTAACAAAATGTCTCACAATTCACCAATGCATTTCTAACAAAATGTCTCACAATTCACCAATTCACTTCTAACAAAATGTCTCACAATTCACCAATTCACTTCAAACAAAATGTCTCACAATTCACTTCTAACAAAATGTCTCACAATTCACCAATTCCTCCAGTCAGTGGTCAAACTATCATCAGCCCAAGTGAGATAGAGGAGGGAGGAGCTTTCACTGTGACGTGTGACGCGTCACGTGCTGGTGTTCCAGAAAGTGCTACCACCATTAGCAGACTGACCATATCCTGGACGAACGGGACAGCACCACCCACAACCTACGCCAGATACAGGCTGTTTCCGGCACCCTACAGCTCCGCAGTAATCATATTTCTTGAATATATCAATTATTATAGCTAAACAGTAATCACATTTCTTGAATTATCTCAATTGTTTCAATGTACAGAAATTAAAATGTAGAAATTTAAACACAATCGATTCTACGCTATTAACGTTTATCTTTGCTTGATCAAACATCCTCTATATTAAATTTATGAATAAAGTTAACCCTTTAATATACGAGTATTGGTTGGATAAACATAAACATTTATTAAGCTAACCATTTAATGTCTGAGTTGTTAAATTAAGTTACAACAGACAAAACATGTTTGTACATGTGTAATATATACCTTTGTTGCCAGTTTAGTTTAATTTGACTACATGACTGCGATACAACAAGTTTTAATTTTCTTGTTTACCCTAGTTTCCACCACAAACTTCCCTATCAAGAAACTGGACCTTTACATTCAATGGAAGCCAACAAGGAACATCAGACGCACCCAGCAACAGGAACACGATGAGGATAGAGATGGTGGTCAGTGATGCTGTGTCTGACGACGCCGGCTTGTATTACTGTAACGCCACGTACCTGGATGTAGCGGGGGATTTAGTGACGGTCGTGGAGTATCAGAATGTCACAAGTACAAGTAAGATCACTTTCTCTTGTTGGTAGAGTTTGTCTCGTTTTTCTTGGACAGGCTCAAGTAGATACAGCTGCCCAAATCAGAGTCCCGTTATAAAGCTACAACATCTTCGATTTGTAAAAACAAACCTTAAAAAAAGAGATTAAATAATTTAATATTGGCTATTTTTAAAGTTAACAGAGCAATATGAAGTGTATGATTTTAGTCTGCATTAAGATAATCAATTGAATTGAGTTAATTTAGTAATAACATTTTTAATCTTCTCAGCACTGAGTTAACTCAGCTTTGAAGTTTTATGAAGTGTTTTAATATGTCAATTAGCACATGAAGTAACTTAATTAGTGTCACAATTTGCTGAAGTGTTTGAACATGTCTATGACCTGACCATCAGTTCCTTTAGCCAGTCCAGCCACTGACGACAGAGGCTCTCTGACCGCTGCATGCAATGCCACAAACGCTGGCGTCCCAGCGACCGCCACCACTGTGGTAGCATTAACCATCAGTTGGACGCCAGGACCCACAACCCTGCCCACAACATTGGCCAGATACAGGATATTTCCAGCACCGTACAGCTCCTCTGTAAGAACATGTCTTCATCTCTTGTTTGGTTACGCTAGAGGTATTAGTTGGTGCTCTTTAAAGATTAATTAAAACATAATTTAATAACATTTAAAGTGACACGAAAAACACAATAACAATACAATAGCAACCTTGTTTTAAATATAATGATATAATGATAGAAGGCACTTGGGCATTGTGAAGCGGTAGAATAGCCGGTATCCTAAAATCTATTTTAAGCGTTGATTGGGTCTCGGATTAAACAAACGTATTAAGCCTCATTGGACTTTTACACAATAAAACATCCTCTAGTCAAGTCATATTCCCTTTCAAACCTACTGTCAGTAGGGCGAGTGAAGTAGAGTTCACTTGTTTCTGTGAATTCGGCCTTTACTTTCCTCAAAGTGAGTTAGATACTCAATAGAGTTGATTGGACTCAGGGACGGTCTACTGACTTGAACCCAGATTCGAACTGGAGCAGTCCAGCGCTCTAGACCACTCCGTCCCTACAAAACACCATCTATCCTCTCAAATACTAGTAACCAGAAACTGCAGTCTTTTACAGAAATGTTATGTTATTTTATTATCAATTTGTCATTTAGATTTATTTAATTGTGTAAACTAATAATCAATTATTTCATGACTGTTATATTATTTCTTGTCATCATTATCACGTGACTGTCGGCCATTAAACAGTTTACACCACAAAACTCCTCCGGAAAGAACTGGACGTTCACACACACGGGGAGCTTACAAGGGTCATCAGACAACCCAGCCAACAGGAACTCGATGAGGATAGAAATGGCGGTACATGGCGCTAAATGTACAGACGCCGGCTCGTATTTTTGTAACGCCACGTACATTAATTCAGCTGGTGATATAACGTCGGCATGGCAGTCCCTTAAGCTCACCAGCAGAGGTTAGTGATTTGCTATCCCATCAAGTTTCATACTCGCTGTTCTAAAAACACGATTTACCTTAAGCTCACCAGCAGAGGTTAGTGATTTGCTATCCCATCAAGTTTCATACTCGCTGTTCTAAAAACACGATTTACCTTAAGCTCACCAGCAGAGGTTAGTGATTTGCTATCCCATCAAGTTTCATACTCGCTGTTCTAAAAACACGATTTACCTTAAGCTCACCAGCAGAGGTTAGTGATTTACTATCCCATCAAGTTTCACAGTCGCTGTTCTAAAGACACGATTAACTTTAAAGTCACTACAAACAAAGCAGTTCAATGATTGTTTAAAATTTTGACACTTTCACCGTTTAGGTTGGATTAGGTGTGGGTACCGTGGAGCCTATCAACAACAAGATATCTACACTCTTCTTTTTCTTCTTCTTCGTTCTTATTAATTATTAGTGTTGAAGGGGATCGAGATTTATCTGCCAGTGGGTTTGAACTCGAGACTTTGTTCGAATGTTTCAACCATGAGCTTTTTTGCCGACTCGACCACGCCTCCAACACAATTAAGCGTTACGTGTCAACTGGTTATGCGCCATTGAGGCCATTGACTCCGATTTCAGCCTGCTTTTCTTTTTGGATATGCTTCCATAGCCTTTGTCCAACCAAGAACAAACTACAAGGCAGCAGTTGTTTAATTTTGGAGTTGTCTCTCCTAGAAGAGTGGCTGACCCCAGCTAACGAGCCTCATCTGCCCGAGGGTTCGAACTCGAGACTTTTCGGTTTAGCAACCATGAGCTTTACCGACTCGACCACGCCGATCTGCACTCTGAACTTGGACTTTTTTTTTAATTTTTATTTTTTTTCTAACTATGCTTCAATTTTTTTTTCAGCCAATACGTGTAGTTGTAATGACTGGAAACAGCTACATACAAACTAACGTTAAAAAATAACAAGTGATTTATCACTGATGTTTTGTTCTATTTTTAGATACCTCAGTCGGGAGCCACCAGCTGTACCAATACATGTCATTCCCAACTAACAAGGGCGACAACCCATCAAATTTCACTATGATTTGTAAAATCAACGTAAGTTTACATTAAATGTACTACTAAACTCATCAATGTTAAATTATTTATTAAAGTTAGTATAGTCATACACTAATATTAATTTTTTTACATTCTGAACTATTGATTGTTATAATTTAAATAATACACATATATATATGAACATTAAACTTCATGAATCAGTAGGAATTTCTATAATTTTTCCACCACTTCTTATCAGTCTGTTCATTATTGCTTCTCCAACTATGTGTTCAGTTAATTTTAAAAATAAAATTGTAATTCAACGTTTTCTATTAGATCTATGCATAAGTAAACCATCTTAAATGAATGAAAGTAGGCTACAAAAAAGAAACAAGTATTACTATTGTAAATCTGAATCAGTCCTCGCAAGCCGTTGATAAAAACTGTAATACTAAACAGAGGCGTAGCGACCCTTACCTGCGCCGGGGGACAAACTTTTCGATTTGCACCCCCCCTCTCAAGATTTCGATTTGCACCCCCCCTCAAACTTTCAATTTATTTTTCCAACCCATTTTGGCGCCTCCATTTGTCCCCCCCCCCCCCTCGCTGCGCTGCTGATACTAAAGCGAACATGCAAGGAAAACTGACGCTGTAAATTACATGTCTAAGGCATATATATATATATATATATATATATATATATATATATATATATATATATATATATATATATATATATATATATATACAGTCAGTAATACAAGTAATTAATACAAGTAATTAATTCTTTGCTTTAAGTGAGAAGATTCATTAATTAGACAAATTGTTTTTACAGGGCCCAAAGACTCTGAGACTTGACTGGGAACAAATTCTCCCACCAGCTGAAGGCTTCGTCCCCTACCCCAACCCAGCGCACATACTCAGAAGTGAGCCCGTACCCATCGGCTCTTGTAACAGCTACGCGCATGCGTCAACTCTACGCTTCGCCATGGCCGACCGGCTTCGCTGTTTTATTTATAGATGCTCAGTCAGGGACGGTAACGTGACGGTCAGTCAAGCGAATCTTATGCCAGATGTACACCAGGGCTGCTTTCTTTAAGGGGGGGAGCTTTAAACTTTACATATTTACACAGTAATTGTCTACGTCACATGTTTACACAGTAACTATCTACGTCATAGATTTCTAACTCTCTACGCATCTGATAGCATATAAAAGCGCTAATTGTAATGCATACTACACATACCTAAACATATAATCTATTTATATTTTTTCTTTGATTTAATTATTGATTACATTTTTATTTTTTAAACAATACAGATTCGAAATGTAGTGTATTGAGATTTTATTATTTCTGCCCCTGCATTGTAAAACAAAACATGATACAACATTAATATCACTTCATGTACTTTTTGAAAATTACCAAATGTCAAATATGTAATAGAAATAAAACAACAACAACAAACGAAAGTGTGTAACTTTTGAATGTGTCGAGAACATTACATTTACATTTTTTATTAACAGCCGCTGTTGGTACCACGATGCTGCTCAAAGCAGCGTCGGTTGGTCATTAGAAAAACAGAGTTAAACAGTGTTAAACATTGTTAAACAATGTAATCATTCATCAATGTTCAGTTGTAGCATCTGATAGTGACACTGTCTAACCCCACGAGAAGGCCACTATGTTGACAGACAAACCATGCAAGACAGATTGACCACTTATTCAGAGCCCCACCAGGGGGGTGTGTCTCCAGTGACGCCAGCGGAGGTAGAGTCCTAGAGCCGTTGCCATGGCAACCAGAACCAGTACAGCGACGATAGGACCAGCTATGACTCCAATATTTGTACTCGAGGCATCGCGTCCTGACTGTGGGGCGTCTGGCACTGAAAGAATAATTTTTTTAAAAACATAAGTATTTAAAATACTTATTTAAAAATACTTTGATGTATACATTCAGAATTATTTTCCACAACGGCAATTTGTCGGTCTCAACGTTTCAAATTTTATGTTTTTTGAGTTATTTTCAAATTATTCATAACATTTTTTATTAACATTTAAGGAAAAACACTTTGAAGGGCTCAGTGGAAAAAGTACTTAAGTTACATTTTTTCAAAAATGAGTTAAGACCGGTATATTATTTGACTACCTCCCCTTAACCATCCCTGTAAATTTGGGCCATGGAAAAAGTACCGAAGTAGCTTAATTCGAATACTCTGCATCAGCTGTTTTATTATTTCAATAACAATTTTAAAACTTATGCACTCATTTTTCTCAAAATTCTCAAAATACACTTAAGTACTTTTCCACTGAGCCCTTCTATTACTAGCGATCAGAAGCTGCTATTATTTTAAAAAAAACAACAACAACGTGTTAATTGTTCATAAGCAAAATACCATACATATTTTGAGCATCGTATATACTGAAACGCTTTAAGCCTAAAGAGTATAAATAAATCTGTAGTAAATGTGTAATTATAACCAGGGACGTAGCGGGGGGGGGGGGGGGGCGGGGGTTGCGGACCGCGCCGGGTGACACCATTTATGGGGGGGGTGACACCAAGGCAAAAAATAGCAAAATATATAGAGAAAAACTTGAGGGGGGGAGGGTGCAAATCGAAAGTTTGAGGGGGGGGGGGGTGCAAATAGAAAACTTGAAAGTTTGTCCCCGGGAGGGTCGCTACGCCTCTGGGGGGAGTGACACCATTAAATGCCGCACCGGGTGACTCCCGACCTCGCTACGCCACTGATTATATCTCACCTTGTTTAGTGTATATCGTCATGTTCCCAACAATTGTGTCTCTGTTGTTTTCTGTAGCCACACACACATACATGTAGCCATCATACATGTCTTCTGTTTGAAACTTGAGTGTTGACGTATGACGGTAATGGACACAGGTTGTCCCAGAACTAACCAACACAGGTACATCAACTGATATCGCGTTTTGTACAGGATATGTTGTGAAACTGTTGACGTCAGAGCTACTGTTTGCATGTGTCCATTGAAGCTTTAAATCTTTGGGGCCCTGACATAACAATGCATATATAGATATTTATTTGTATAAGTTTATATATGTTTTAGACTTATTAATTTTATTAAAATCTAATCACAATATTAGCTTCAATAGATATTCTTAAACAGAAATAGACCTCTGGTATAATCAAATCAATACATAGACTAAGTTCTCGTGTACATTTGATATGATTTTTAAAAATATCTTTTTGAAATAACTATATCATTTGAAGTATAGCTTACTTAGGAAAAATGGTTTTAATTTTAACAAACATTTGTATTAAAGTTACAACTTACATGAACAGTACACGTCAATGTAACACTGGATCCTGCAGGGTTGACAGACTCTAATGGACCCAGTCCCTCTCTATGATGGGGATCTATGGTCAGCGACTGAGGCGCTACTCGGGCTGTTAAATAGAAACCAGTGGCGTCACTAGGACGTTTGTCATCCAGTGAGACACCTCATGGTGTCACCCTTCCCTCCCAACCAATTAAAAAATACGCTATATACATAGCGTATATACGCTATATCCATACATAATTAATCGTATCAGGTACTCATCAGAGTAGGGTTAAGTCAGGTATTTCACATCTACTTGAGCCCAATAACTGAACTTGAAATTTTACCTCTCGGCAATTAAATGTAATCGCCGCTAAAATAAAAGTTTTAAATACAAACAATTATCTTTGATTTAATTACACAATTACTAATTTGGCTGAAACAATATGGCGTAGTTGAAAATACTATGCCTAGCATGAAAATCAACAACTTGAGGCTTAATATTGAATTTAATGTTGAGAAAAAACAAAACAAAGATTATAAAGATATAAGGTCGATAACTGGGGTAGGGCCTACTACCTGAACTCAAAGTATAATTGTAATATTTTGGAATACTAATCCAACTTACGTATAATGGTGACATTTTGGGTCACTACCTCGACTTACGTATAATGGTGATATTTTGATACTGATAACTTGTTAGTTCGGCTCCGTATGAAGTGACATACGAAGCATTACAGAAATACAGTCCAGCATCTGAACACATGGCACCGTCCACAACGATTTCAATCTTCCTTGTCTGTCTGTTGTTGGGACGGTCTGAGGTTCCCTGCATGTTCCCGCTGAAGGTGAAGTTCCAGTTCCTTTCTGATTGTGCCTGGTGAGACAATGGTTTGAATGTACAGATATAATGGAAGACATAAGGCCTGGTGATCTAGTAGTGGTGAGCTATATATAAATGGTGAGAAAATGGTTTGAATGTACAGATATAATGGAAGACATAAGGCCTGGTGATCTAGTAGTGGTGAGCTATATATAAATGGTGAGAAAATGGTTTGAATGTACAGATATAATGGCAGACGTAAGGCCTGGTAATCTAGCAGTGGTGAGCTATATATAAATGGTGAGACAATGATTTGAATGTACAGATATAATGGGAGACGTAAGGCCTGGTAATCTAGCAGTGGTAAGCTATATATAAATGGTGAGACAATGATTTGAATGTACAGATATAATGGACGACATAAGGCTAGTGATCTAGCAGTGGTAAGCTATATATAAATGGTGAGACAATGGTTTGAATGTATAATATAATGGAAGACGTAAGGCCTAGTTATCTTATAGCAGTACATGTGATTTAACAGGATAAATACACAGATGGGTAACGGACATAGTGGGATGCTGTGGTCAAGGCTCTATGCTCTATGCGTCGAAAGTTGGAAAGAGGACAAAACCACGTAACTCAAGTATGCGGGTTTGCTTCATGCATTTTAACTAGCGTAGTAGACCTTACTTACTAACCGCAATAGCAGTCAGCCTTCCGCACCCCTCCTCCATCCACAGCATATAGAAAAAGGCGGCCTATTCACTAAAACTTTTCAGAAGGCCATTCTATTCAGTGAAGGTTTAGGCGCCCCTCCCCACACCCCCACCTATCTGATGTTAATAACTATTTTGGACATTTACTATAAATAATAATATAATAGAAATAATTTTTAATAATTGGAATAATACTTTTAAAAATATCAAAGGGATATTTAAACTAAAGGATAAACATATAACAGAGAATGTATTAAATAGTGTCCCTGAACTTTTAAATATCAAGTATTGCTATGTGAAGTTTTACAGCTGCAAAAAAAAATGTCTCACAAAATACGTGTACGGTGACTGGAATGCACTGTATCTCTTGTACTGTTCTGCTGGTGTTTGTACACCTAACCAGCCAGCTGGTAGCGCTATCCAGCCAACGCCCACTCTAGAAATGTTTGTAAACATTCTGAGAACACCAGCACGTGACGCGTCACATGACACGGTGAAGGTCACTCCTTCCTTAACGACAGCTGGGCTGACGATTGATTGGCTGGACATCTGACTACTCACTGTAGGAAGAGAAGTTTAGTTTACCAGAAAGCTTAAGAGGTAACTACCTTAAAAGTAAAATAATTACAAAATAACATTATCATTGAACAATTGGTCTTTGAAATTCAGTTATATTCTAGTTCGACTTATATCAACTTAAAACTTTACTCGTATCATAAATGCTTACTTTAAATACAAAGTATGAATCTTTAGTAATATTCCATTTTAAATTAATCTTCAGACTACATACATTTAAACTTGGAAAGACAGCTTTATTTTTAAATGAACCAGAGCATACCTGTTGTTAAAACACAGCTAACCAAAAGAACTACCACCATTTTGTTTTCCGACATTTTGAAACTAACAGAACAAATACAGAAAACTGACAGCGTCAAGAATATAAGTCTTCTCCTCTCTTATCCAAATCAACGATCGTCTAAACAGTTCAGTTCACACAGCAGCTAAACATATGGCTGTTACTCTTCTTATGTAGAATACACGTGTATGTTAAAATATTCTAAATCTTTACCATTCTATCTTCAGTCTATACAGTTCATATAAGTTGTTCATATAAGTCACCATAACACGTAATACTACGAAACAAAGTTCAAATCTAAGTTGCTAAGTTTTATTACACGATGATAAAAATTTGAAAGTTGAACATTCCATCTTTATTATCACATATTGACTAGTTTACGAAAGTTATAAACAATCTATACAAACAAAAGTAAAGTCCTATTTCAATAAAATAGACTAATATTTTATTTCAAACAAAACCACAGTGAATTATTAAAACGATCCCACAATTCCACTCTCAGAACATTCATACTTGTCAGGTCAGCTTAGAGATACAAATCGATATGTTTACACTGTAATCAATCGAACCAATGCTATCCTTACACTCAATAATTATATCGATATGCTTACGCTAAAATCAATCTAGCACGTGGTATCAATACACTCAATAATTATCTCAGTCCTCGACTACCCAACCTCAGCACACCAGTTAAATTATAGTTCTAATTTTTTACATCGTGCAGTACTACGGCATGGGGAATATTTTATGTTTAGATGAGAACTCCTCAAGTATATACGGGTAATTTTTATTTTAAATAAAACAATTGGTTGTGTGAAAATAAGTATTGTGTTTTCGATCCAAATACATTTTAGTACATCGATATCTATTGTACTACAACATAATTGGTAATAAATCTAGTGTCACTAATCAACAAAGTGAATTATCAATATCTTTTAAAGTACACAATCAATGTGAAGCCACAATTATATTTATCTAACATCCTTCAATAAAAGCAGCAGTTTTAGACTATGCACACATACTTTTTTATTGACTGACGCCCTACAACACTAAGGGTAATTTGTATAACTACCAATGGCTATATGGCCATTATATCTTTTTTGTTTACTACTTTACCCTTCCATGACAGAGTCCCCCAATCCACCCTCTAGTGCTAAAGAGCCCACTATATATATATATATATATATATATATATATATATATATATATATATATATATATATATATATATATATATATATATATATATATATACATATAAAATAATATAGACTGTTTGCAACACCACACCACCACATTGTAGTGACTTAAATCTATTGAAAAGGAAACTGAAAGTCCAACTAAGTTTCGGGAATTCCTGTAAATGATTTATCTCTGGTTCTGTTGTACCCGCATGTGTGGGCGTTCCCCACACAAGGTGTTGAACTATAGCCTGCATTAGAAACGTTAGTTGAAACTATTTGAAACATAAATTAAGTGTGTGTGTCTTGGGGGGGGGGGGTCTCTCGTCGATTTGGTCTCCGACATTACTGCTGCCGGAAGTTGAACGAAGACAAAATTACACAAGTTAGTTACGGGAATATGGACGCAAACATTTTGACCATAAACAAACTCAGGAGGATACAGCAACACTGTGATCGGGTTTTTATTGGGGGTCATGGATGGTTGATAACACGCATAACTTTACGCTGTGTAACATAGCTCAAATGTTTTCACCCAACCACCACCACCACGCCCTTCACATGCCCCCACCACCACCATTAGAAACCCCCCACTACACCACACTTCACTCACCCCAACCACCACCACACCCCCACCACCACCACCCCACCCTTCACATACCCCCACCACCACCATTAGAAACCCCCCAGTAAAACACCCATCACTCACCCCAACCACCACCCCACCCCCACCACACCCCACTACTACCACACCCTTCGAACCACCACACTTTTCAAACCTTTCACATATCGCCACAACCACCACATCTTTCACACACACACACACATACACACACATCCAATCCCACTCACAACCTCGAGATTACAGTAAAAATTAAATAGTCTACAGTAAACTGTTAACAAACAGTAAACAGCATACATAAAAGCACACATAAAAATAATTCACTTCACACTGTCATTCTGTTTAAACTTGCTACTATACAAAACAAAAATCAATTTATTTTTTATTGATATAGCATTTGTAAGGACCATAATGTACAATGTGCTGAATAATATTTAATTATTTTCTTTTGTTAAAACAAAAAATTCAAACTTTAATGTCAGATATTCTAAAGTTAACAAAGTGATTTTTAAGCTAATTGTTCAGTTATTTAGCGAGTTTGCTCTTGCGAGTTCAGTTAACTGTGTTGTTCATCTGGACTTGAAATGTTGTTCATCTAGTCTACCAGACATTAAATGGAACAATGCACGTCTTATCTACTCTCTTACAGCCTGTTATTGAAATAATTTAAAAAAAACTTTATTTACATCGTAGTGTATTATTTAAACCGGTTTGATTTGCATAGTTATTAATGGGAGACTTAGATGTGTTTGAATGTGTGTAGCTACATGTTTGTGCTTTTGTGTGTCTATATTAGTTTGTGTATGTGTCCATATTTGTGTCTGTGTCAATATTGTGTATGTGTCCATATTAGATTATGTCATTGTCTGTATTAGTTGTGTCTTTGTCAATATTGTGTCACTGTCCATATTAGATCGTGTCTGTGTCTATATTAATTTGTTTCTGTGTCTATATTAGTTTGTGTCATTGTCCATATTAGTTGTGCCTGTGTCTATATTAGTTTGTGTATGTGTCAATATTAGTTTGTGTATGTGTCCATATTAGTTTGTGTCTGTGTCTATATTAGATTGTGTCACTGTCCATATTAGTTTGTGTCAATATCCAGCCAAGCTAGAGTGCTCTCTCTACTTCACCTACCCAGTTTAAAGTACACCACACACACCAGAAACATGACGTTAGACACCACAGCAGCAGCGCCCAATACAGCGAAGGCAGCATTGCTGATACCACCGTTCACTGGCAAGTCGGAAAAAAAAATTCGTCAAACTTTCTGGGTAAACGAATTTTAATTGTCACATTTTGTAATAAATAAACACAACGATTGTTACTGACATGCTAGTGGCTGTAAGCTATTTTAAGAGGCAATGGTGTAAATAAATGGAAGTATTTCAACTCTGGGTTAGCGAGCCCTTTGTTGTTTTATTCCCGGACTAAAACATACTGTAGACAGCTAGACTGCTAACCCTAAAGTCTCGAATTCGAATCCAGTTTCAAGTCAATAGACCGTCACTGAGTCTACCCAGCTCTGGTGGGTACCTAACTCATGGTAGGGAAAGAAGTAAAGGCGGTTGGACATAGCGCTGACCACGCTATCTCTTCATATGCCGAGATCTCTGAAACAGATGGACTCTACTTCATCTGCCCCATGTGTCTTGGGCACGAACGAGAAAGATGATGAAATCATATTGTATTGTAAAACAAAATTACAAACAACTTTAGAGTACTTATAAATAGTATTATAATGAATGCACATACAAACATACCTACATACATAAATGAGTTGCATAAACATAAAGTAGTATAGATATAAATTTACTTCTTATTTCTAGATTTCTATACTTTAAAAAAAAATGTGTTAGGTATTTTTCAAGGTATATATCTGATTTTTTTGGACAAAAAACATACCATTTGTTAAGAGCTAGGGTTAGATAAAAAATAGATGAAACTTCTGAAAATCATCGACAATGTAAAAAAAAATTAATTAACATTAGACCAAATTACCGTCAATTGTTATATGTTGAAACTTGTATACAGATATTTCCTCATCTACCCAAAAGAAATACGAAGCGCCACAAATATAAAACCCTGTGTCTGCCAATTTAGTGTTGTGGACAACCATTTCTATCCGCATTGTGTTCCTGTTGAATGGTCTATCTGAGGTCCCTTGCAGACTTCCTGTGAACTCAAATGTCCAGTTCCTTGATGGCGGCGGATTCTGGTCAATTTATTCATGTAAGGTAGATTAAATGTGATGACTAAATACCGAGTAGAGACCAATAAAAGGAAATGCAATAAAAACATACGTGTCCATATCCTGCACTTGAGAGGAGAGGACCCTCAGTGTGCACACGCACGCACACACACACACACACACACACGAATACACACATACACAAGTACTCAAAACCACATGCACACGTCCCAAAATACACACTCACAGGAAAATTACAGGAGGCGCGCACACACAAACTCACATGCGATCGCTCAAGAGCAGACACACATACACACACACGCACTAACACACACACACACACACCCGCGAAACACACACACTGACCGTAAAGTTGTACGGCGGTAAAATGCCGTATCCAGAATATTCTGTGGGCGGTGACCTCCCGTCCGTCCAACCCAAGGTCAGGCTGGAAACGGTTGAAGCTATTTCTGGAACCCCGGCACGTGATGCGTCACATGACACGGTGAAACATCCACCTACGGCAACCACTTGTGGAGTGACAATCACGTGACTGACACCTTGACCATCAACTGGCAGAAATAAAAACCTGACAAATAATACAGTAACCGAAAAGCTTCTGCTAAATAAGTAGAAAGTAAATTATCTGAACTTAAGCCGTTTACAACAAAACAGAGTTTATTCAAATATATATTATATTGATTGTTTTCTGTAAATTTTAAATACTACAAAGAATTCCATCGTACTTAACTGAATCGCCCAAATCAAGAATACAGTTAACACTGGAAGATTAGGCATGTTTCTGCATGCAGTATCTTTCATTAGCACCTCTACACTTCAGCGGTAAAACAAAACGTTTGTCTGCCCTTTGTCAGGCCACCCAATTGGGTGTATAGTTCTGAGAATAAAAATTTCGTTTTATTCTTATCACCGGATGTTGAAGGCCGATAAGAAGTGGATAACTGGATAGCGTATGATTTACTGCGGGCATTCAAAGGCCCGGAACTTATATGTTGGGTACAGAGTTTCTTTCAGGTATATCTTTGGTGGGGTTAGAGCAGTGTCACTCCCCCCCCCCCCCCCTCTACCGGAACACGACCACCGCCCCAGCGCCTAAATTAACAGAAAATATATAATTGATATGGAGAATACGTGATTAACAAGTGTCCACCCTTCCCTCCCCCTCCCCTCCTTGGTCTGAGAAAAATGTTTGATAGCAACACTTGTACCTCTCACAAACCGGTGGTAGAGACGGGAGTTTGTGTGGTTTTTATTTTCTTAAAGTGAAACTTTTGTTCTCGTTTTTTTAGTTTGGTGATTCCCCAAGTTTACGACATTACAAGATGTCTGATTTGTGCTGAGAGATCGCTATTCTTAAAACTAAAAAACTTCAATGAGAAAGTCTGCTTTTTCCAGTTGATTTAAGAGCTTATCAAAGTTTTGGCACAAAATCTTTTGGCACAGGATGACATCATCGGAGATGGATGTGACACCAAATTGTCTTTAAATTTAGTTAAGCATACATGTAGCTGTTGGAGTAGGGGGAGTGGCACCATGGGTTACCGCTCCGGGTGTCAACCGGCATAGTGACGTCATTATAGCTGATGTGCATTTGACTTAGATAGAAGCTCTTCATAGTCTGTTAGCAAACAAATTTAGAATTATTTTTTTAAAGTTTACAATAAATTATACTCAAAACAAAACAACGTAATATACATTTGTAAAGAGAAACAGCTTACTTGTTAAATTATTTAAGAAATTAGGCATTTAATTACCTTGGCATCAAATTATTCATTAACTTCTTTCTTTACTTTACAAATCCGTGTAATTAGCTTTATAACTTATGTTTTTTATTTTTTTTTTATTTTATGAATGAACAATCTCATCAACAAAATATACTTTAAAGATATTCAAACAAAATTGTTAGAGAACTATTGTATTTGGTAGCCAACTAAAACTGCCAAACTGCATCTTAAAAATCATAAATTGAACTGTCCTGGTTGATAGTTTTTACAAAAAAAAGGTTTATGAAACTCTTATTATGGAAAGGGGAATAACTCATAATCAACAAATTGTATGTTCTAAATGGGTTATGGTTTATAACTTACCCCCCCCCCCCACCAACCCCCACTCTCCCTTACACACACACACACACACACACACACATATACACACACTTGAGTCTAAAAACCCTCGGGGATTTAAAGGGCGAGTCAATGCTTAATTAAGTTTTAAAAAGTTTAAAATATTATTTCTTTTCCCTGATCATGTTTTGATACTATAATGTTGATAGGAATTGGTTGTAAGCCCACGTGGTTGTTAACAATAGCTTTTGGAAATTAACATCACAGTTAAATACAAGGTTATTTTATCACTGTCTGGCTTGGGTTCACAAAAAGTGGAATCTTATCTCATTGTCATTTCTTTCTCATTGACCATCTCTCTGTCCATATGTAGGTCTGTCTGTCTGTTCTTCCGTATCGACGCGTTTTTTAATGAGAAGTTACTCACGTTAGAGATGCTTTCATCAGTCTGTCAGGCAAAACCACATATCGACAGAATATATTTAAATAAAACAACAGGGGCTGTGAACTCGGGATATAGACATGATTTTTAATCCATTTTAAATACTTAAACTTTTTAAATTAGAATAACATCTCGTGGAAAAAGAATTGCACACCAAGTGAACGCCAAATAAAATGTGCATAATAGTGCGCATTATTATTAGTACTTTATAAATTTACGTTAGTTTTTTGAGAAATAGGAAATAGCGTAAATTACTACTTCCGGTCAACGTAAATTATTCAAAATTTGACAAAAGGTAGAGAATTAGATATTTTACTTACATGTGGAAGTTCATTTATCTATCTGAAATAGTACTCAAGTTATAGGCTTTTGAAAAATTCAAAGTAGAAAAAGTACCACCTTTTGTTGATACGGATTTACGATTTTGATAAAATACTTATGTATGAAATTTCATCAACTTAGCTGTAACGGTACTCAAATTATCGTGTTTACATACACACACAGACACACATACACACACAGACATACGGACAAGATTGCAAAAATAGGTTTTTCCGACTCAGGGAAGACAAAGCCTCCATTTCTGTCTCCTGAACTCTGCTCTCATTAGGTTTAACCTCGACAGTCAAAGCTTTAGAGCAGCAGGCAACTTCCTGATCTTCAGATTGTTTTTTTTTTGTTGCCTTTTTCTGGATGCCTTAACAGCTTTCTCTGCTGCCTCTGCCTCCAATCTGCCTACACATTCTTGTGCAGTAAGGCTCTCCCCATACGCTCTTTTGATAGCCTTACCACGGCCAGCATTAGTGTTTTTGTCCCTGACCAGTAGGGGCGAAAGCTTTTTAATAAAGAAATCCTATATGGATTCCTTATTGGCTGCTGGTAATTCAGCAGGTGGCAGTTCAGGCTGTGGTTATAGCTCTGGAGTAAGTGGCCGATCACTGTTATCATTTGAGTCAGGCTGTTTTTCTGGCACATAGAGTCTGTCCAAAAATTCAGCTGATTCATATATTGAAGAGGGAATTTGCCTAGGGTCAAAAGGCGTGATGCCACACTTTCGAAAGTCAGCCTGGATATTTTGGGCAGACAAGCTTTCGTCTTCCCAAAGCTGCTTCAGAAGCATTGGAAAAAGTTCTTTAGTTAGAGCCATCCCCAAGTTCTGCCGTGCAAATTTTATGATAATTTTTTTCCCATGATGTCTTGGCAGGCCCATAGACACCAACATCTAGTGGTTGCAACACATGTGTGGAGTTAGATGGCAATTTGAGAAGAATGACACCATTGTCTACAGCACATCTGATGGTGGCAATGCTCAAATGGCCATTCACAATAAGCACAACTGGTCGTCCCTCTGGCAGTGTAGCCACAAAAAAAATTTCAAACCAGTCATGGAAGCTGGTGGTGTCCATCCACCCCTTGTCGCTGACATTATATTTGGCACCAGTTGGTCCATTCAGTGTCCAGTTAACCCTAAGTTTTTAGCTGCGTACAGAACATATGGTGGCAGCATCAGTCCATCTGATCTGGCACTTCCCTGTACAGTAATGGAGTTCTTACCGGAAACACCAATGAGCCGAAACAGGTGACTTATCCCTTTTTCACATACGACCTTAATACGTTTAGGGTCCAGTGGAAACCCACTTTCGTCAACATTGTAAATCCTCTCAGGCTTGTCAAAGAGGTTATTCACTGCAAGTGTATCGTGCAAAAGCTTGAACCATTCTTCATAAATGGTTTTGTTTGCTGATGATTTTGCACGCGATTTTTTCAGCTGTTCAGGTATGCGGCATGTTAGCAGTGGATGCCTTTTGAAGAAGCCAGACAGCCATTCATATCCTGGTAGGTCAGCAGTGAAAGGGTTTTCACGCCCAAGGCATTGAACGAATTCACCTACTATCTCCTGGGTCTCACAACGCTTGAGGCCGAATCCCCATCTTCCCAGGATTGTTAAGTAGCTGACCAATTCAGTTTCTTCATCGACTGTTAGTGCTGTATTTCTGCTAGCTCCCATCTTACTGTAGCGTCCTCTGACTTGGTCCCTAATGGTTGCTCTTTTTAGGCCATAGTGGTTTGCAGCTTTCATGTAGCCCTTTTCACCACTGATAACCTTTTCAACCGCAGCTTTCAATGTATCCTTGTCATAGGCTGAAGTTTTTCTTTTATAATTGCGGACCATTCTGAAATGAGAACAAAATGAGAACAAAATTAAATGTTAGAAAGTATAATTACTAATGTGTGTATGGGGGATGTTTAGCTAAAAAAATATTGCATTAATTATAATAAATAATATAGGTATAGGTACAGTAAAAAAAACAATATATACAGAAATAAAAGAAGTCTGTGGCAATTTTACTTAATTTTAAAAGCAAAGCTTTTTTTTAAAATAAATAGTACTAGATCTAGTACTATTTAAGTACTTTTTAAAAATTAAATCATGAGTTGTGAATTACAAAATTAGCCACAACAAGTTTAAATGGTTTAAAATAATAGCTAAACCCTCTCAAGAGTATAAAAAGCAACATAGGACATTCCAAACTATAGTGTATGGAATTGCCCCACAACATGGGTGTGGAATTGCCCCACACCTACTATTGAGAAAAATATGCTTTCCTGTTCTAAATTAACGGCTAAATCTAGCATCATTAATTGTTACCATTAACAAAAATGATTAAGCTTTCATAAAATCAATAAATAATTGACACCAATTAAAAATAAGACAAAATAAACTGTTTTTAAAAAGTGCAGGGGTTGTTCTTACGTAAGGGTGTTTTCAGATTGATGCAGATAACATTAAAATTCGTGCTCTGATTGGAGATCAACGCTTCTCTAACAATATCAGAAAGTACAGGAAATAACCTCTTAGAAACAGGAAATAGTAACTTTTAATTAAACTTTACTCCTTTTAAAAATAGAGAGTATTTAGTATATAGTGTGTGGAATGGCCCCGTGTGTGGAATTACCACACCTTACCTACTTTGTATATACGAGAAAGTAAAAAACAAGGTAATTAAAAAGTCTAGTGACAATTTTAGCGCAATTTCCTTATGTTATCTAAAAATAGCTCTGTCGTAGCGTAAATCAAGAGCAGCGTTAGTAAAACCATTGGTTAGTTATTAAAACGTTTTTTATTAAATTTTTTTCAGTATTTCACATGTTTTCTTTACAATAGTGTTACATGACTAAAAACCATTGCGCGCCTAGCTACTGAACGTGATGACGCAGCTATTGAACGTGATGACGCGTGTGGTTTGGTTGGGTAAACATGCCTACTAATTCGGTCCAAATTTTAATTAATTAAAAAAAAAATTTGTGACCGAACGAAAGGATATTTTTGAAAACTTTCTTCTGCAATATTGTTCTACATTATGGCAGGAATCGATTGGTACATGTTTCAAGTCGCTAAGTGGTCTGGTTGCCGATATATGGGCCACAAACTGCATTTTTCGAGGCTTTTTGGCTTTTCCGGGAAATCCATGAAAGGAACCCGGAATTTGTATGGCCTATGTTCATCCTCGTAACTTGCTTAACATAATTGCTTTTGGAACTAGTCCTCGATATTGCTTCGTTGAGGAGGAGATACGACTTAAAGCTGCGGACACACATCCATTCATACATCCAGAAATGACGGGTAAATAAACGCTAAATTGCGCTAAAATCCAACAAAGTACTGCTTTATTTAATTAGTGAAAGATAAAAAGCGTGAGTTTTAGATATGCTTTATTACACCAGGTTTTGTATGTAACATACACACAGGCCTATTCATTGAATTATCGGCCACAGCCGAGACTCTTGGTGTCATAGTAGCCACGTAATATTAAATTTAAAAGACCAAAAATAAATGTAAACTTTATTAATTCCATTTTATATAGCAAATGCAAACGTCTCGTTAATTGAATGACAAACTTCACAGTCTTCCTCTTTTCTACTGCAGTTTTTATATTATCTAAAATAGTATTTGGTAAACATTAAACAATATTTGGCTTATATACTGTATGCTGAAGCAGTTAACATAAATGCATTAAGCAATGGATAATATAAAAAATAGACTGCATCTTGTTTTTTAACATAATGAACAAAGGTTGCACATTGTTATCGATTAACTGTAACATATTGTTGCGACACTTTCACAAAGCAGAATTATAAAATTCATGGTTTACAGGCAATAAAGTGTGACGATGGCTAAGATTATTTTAACACTAATTTAATATAATTATTAATATTGCTCTATTTAAGTTGCGCTAATACATTTGTAATTTTTTGCATTGTTTTGATTCTTATTATGCTATACAGACACTAAGAGAGAAATAAAAGGTTTACATACTACATTGTTAACGATATTAATATTCTATATTAAATATTTACAAGTATTAGTGTACATTTGAATATTAGAAATTACAGACAAACTATAATGATGATCCCGACACAGTCCACGTAAAAAAATACAGAACATTTTAATTTTTTTCATCCGCAGAAATGTCTGGTTTTAAGTTTTCTGTAAAATTGGTAGTATCTCCAGTAGTGTCATATATTTTCAGGTAATCATTTTCGTCATGAGTTGGTCTAGAATTGTAAACTTTGTTTTTATTTTTGTCAAATTCTCCGTCTAAGTTTTTATCAAGTTTTCCCTCAAAAGTAATCGCTGGTTCTGAATAGTCTGCCGAATTAACAGAAACTGCAGTTGTGTCATACAGTTTCAGATAACCATTCATATCATGAGTTGGGACAGTACTGTTAACTTTGTCTGTATTTTTGTCAAGTTTTTCATCCAAGTTTGTTGTTAGATCTGTCTCTGAAGAAATGTTTGGTTCAATGTAATCTGTCGCAGTATCTGTAGATGTGTCATATAGTTTCTTATAACCAGTAATTTCAAGAGTTGGGACTAAATTGTTACCTTCCTTTGTGTTTTCGTCTTTTATTTCATCCATGTTTTCGTCACGTTTTCTCTCAGAAGAAATAATGGGTTCTAAATATTCTGTCGAATTAACTGTATCGCCAGGTTCTTTCAAAAGGCTTTTAGAATTATCAATTTCGTAAGTTTGAACAGAATTGTATTCTCCGTTGGTTTTGTCGTCAAGATTTCCTTCCAAAGTATTGTCAAGTTTTCTATTCGAGATAATTTCATGCTGTCCATCCATGTCCAAATTACGTTGGCTAACGTTCTCAATGTTAAGTTGTATGTTTATATTATTTTCACTTTCCGAATATTCAGACACATTAGTGTCCATTTGTTGGTTCCTTTCATGTTCGTTTGTGCCGTGTGATAGTTCGTCACTAGAAGCATTTTCTTTGATAAAATCAGGGTCGCCTATTGTACTATAAGGATTTTCTATATCTTCATTATCCTGTTCGTACACAGAAGTCTGATTCAAAGCGCCATTCTGCAAGTCGTTTCTAGAAATTTCTTTTATTACTGCATACCCTTCATCTTCATAGAAAGGTACCAGATATCCATCACTGTCAACTGATCGAGATGATTCATTGTTTGGTGGAGCAAACGTAACTTTCCTTATTTTTCCCTTTCGATACACTGAGGGAAATAAAATGGAAAAGTTACTGATCAATATTTCCTAAATTAATATTAATGCATATTAACAATATACGTTTGTTAAATGACTAATATTTTGCTAATATAGTATTCAAACATTAAAGTATCAGTTACATGTATATTTATTAATGTTTAAAAAATTATTTTCTAATATTAATATTTAATTGTTACTCTATTGGAAAATACACGCATGGAACATAGCTTACTGCAATTAATGATTTTTTTATTGTTTTGCCTGCTGCTCTATTTATGTCTTTTCAAAAAAGTAATTCACCACAAAATAATTTCTTATAGCCTTTTTTTGATGTAGCAAATGAGATTATCGATGGCTAATCACCACTAATACTGGTTTGATAGCATGAACACCCAGAATACCTTTGCTCTGCAATCGCTACTGTCTTTTAAATATGTATTTGTCACCTAATCACAATAGCAATTTTTCGGAAATAATTAAGTAAAATAAGCAAAAATTCTAAGTGAGGATTAACTCAATTAATAGAAGTGAAATATTTGCGCCTATTATGTGGTCAACGAATGTACAGCTTGTTCTTTAATGAAGGCAATTGTCTTCTAGGCGTTTGTGCCTCACAATGAGGCAAATGAAAGCGCCCATCTTGAGGTCGGCGTGTGTATTAAACGTCTGGTGTATGACATGACTGACACACTATATCATATTTTTATATGTTGCTGGATGGGTGATTTAAGTGATGAGTGTCAGCTGAAAATCCATTTTCTCCGTGAACTGCATAAACGGCGAGGAAGAAAACTAACCGAATCACAACATTTGTTTTTGTATTCTTTTGAACGGTGATCCTTTAGCAAACAATTTTAAATTTATGATATACTGTGATAGGAACATTAAAATGTAAAGTTTACATTTTGTCAAAAAAACGTCTATTTTTTTAGGCTATTTAAAATTTTTCAAATCTGCTCATGTGTGAAATGTGGCTGGCATCGTTTAACCATTGATGTAAATTGTCATAACTGGTGTCGGGTTTATATATATATATATATATATATATATATATATATATATATATATATATATATATATATATATATATATATATATATATATATATATACCGTCAAATCTATTCCGTATATTATACTTTTAATTACAAATATAAATTGTTTAATTTGAAAAATATATTACATTTTCTTGGTTTTTTTTAAAATCATCTTCAATTCTTTTTTGCCTTGAGATTTTTGGCCTGAGTATTTTTGTCAGAGATATTTGCTTCAATTCCGAAATCTTTTATCAGTGAAATAATTTGTCCAGAGACAATTTGTCCAGAGATATTTTGTCGTTGACATTTTCGTCTGAGATATTCTATCCTGCAATAATTGGACCTGTAATCATTGATATGTATTTACGTGTCGAAACAAAGGGACGAACCTTTAACAAAGCAAACGGCTACCCCAACAACTCCTACAACAACCACAACAGCGACAGGGACGACGTAGTAAAGAAAGTTGTAGTCGTCTGTTGCAGAATCTAGCTTGGATGCTTCTAAGATAAAAAGTTATGTTATAATACACATGATAACGGTAAAATACAGGTAAATGTATTGTACACTTTAAATTATTAATGAAGGAAATGAAATAATAAATGCAATAAAAGGTAACAATGTTACGGTTTCAGATCCATTGTTAAAGAAAAATTTCACAAAACGCTATCTCTAGTACATATATAACAACAATTCCAAATACATTTTTTAAAAATAATTTATGATATTCTAACAAATAATGTGACTAACAAATATTAGTTATCTGTTTATGAACTTTCTTTGTCATTCCCTAATTCAAAAGTAGTTCGTGTATGTTTGTAAAGTAAAATAAAAATAAAACGAAAAGTTTAAGATACTAATTTTCAATGCATTGGCATATTTTCGACATATTGATTATGGTAATGCTTAACTGCATTGTAGGATTACAGATATATTAAAGCCCATTTTGTTTATAATGTAACCGATCCAACGCCCGTGAAATGTTTTCAAACACAAAGAAAATGTAAAAAAAAATATTTACCTCAATTAGTAAATATTAATTAGTAGTAGCATTAATTTCAAGAGAAGAGGTTGTAGAGGGGTAGAGAATAATAACATTATTGTTCAATAATGTTATAACTAAAACCAATATCCTTTCAAATTATCTATTTTTTTTTCGTTAAGCAAGATTTCGATTTACCTTGTTCAATCTTTATCGTCATGTTCCCAACCATTGTTTCATCATTGTTCGCTGTCACCATACACACATACATGTAGCCATCATACATGTCTTCTGTTTGAAACTTCAGTGTTGACGAATGAAGGTACTGGATACAGGTTGTCCCAGAACTAACCCGCACAGGTTTAGCAACTGATATATCGTTTTGTACAGGATATATCAAAAAATTGCTAAGACTTGCACTAGATTTGCCGTACTTCCATTTAAAGAATAGATCTTCAGGACCCTAGTATCAGGATTAATATTTTCGTAAAAAATTTGTTTCAAACAAATTTTGCTTAAAATTGTGTACACACACACACACACACACACACACACACATATATATATATATATATATATATATATATATATATATATATATATATATATATATATATATATATATATATATATATATTGAAATAGAGTACTTACTGTAACATTACATGTCAATGTAACATTAGATCCAGCAGGATTGGACGACACAAATTGACCCAGTCCTACGTCATGTTGGGGAAATAGAGTCAAAGAGACGGGAACTAATCGCGCTGAAAAAAAGTATTTTATTTTATTTTTATTAATTCCTCTTCCAGATAACCTTTGACTCTACTATATACAGATTATAGTGTTGTAATCGTGGAAACATTAAAAAATCGAGATTATTGTAAATCTGAACATTTTAAAATACCACGAGTAAAAGTTTTACAATTTGCTTTCTTTGTCTGGTTTTTCTGTGTGCGGCTGTGAAGACTTAAGAACTGTATCAGGCTGGCTAAATTTTATGTAGATCTGTAAATGTCAGATCCTATTCTAAATATTTATTATTTTAAGCTATTTTAAAAATATATGTGGTTAGAAGTAGGCAATCCTTATCAGTATGTATTTCGTACGACCCTCGTCTCTATTTGTTTGACATATAGAAAATCGCGGAAACTTGATGAAATCTTTCTATATGATGGCATCAATTTGCCAAAATATTTTTTTTCCGATGATTTAGTACACTCAAACTTGTGCTTCTCCAACAACTAAATCTAATCTGGGATATGTTCGGATACTGGCTGAGTGCGCATGTTCAGGGATTATTTTAAAGTTATGAAGATGGTGGCGGCAATAACTTCGAATAACAATTGAGTTTGATTAGATTTTAAAGTATCCTCTTAATGAAGTTAACATGTTGAGATGGCTACACCACAATAATTACAAATAGAAGGCTATTTGTTAAAAACACTTAGCTTTTTGTTTTCTGCGGACTATTGACCATTCTAGATACTGAGATTTTAATAACTATCATTAGGGCAAGTGAGGGTCGGTCGATAACCCAATATAATGTGATCAGCTAATAAATACAAACAAATTTTAGGAACCTGATCCATTATATAGATTTTTCTACAAGTTCATGTTAATTTTTTTTGTTTCTTTAGAATATACTAGTCAACTTATTATATAAATAACTTTCTCACGATTTTCATCTTATTCCTCCCCCTCCCTACTGTCTTACATCTTCCCAAAATTTCACATCCCACATTTAAAAATAGATCACACCTCAGCATGTGTCTGACCACACTACTCCTTTATATGCTGAGCTAACTGAAACAGATGTACTCTGCTTCACCTGCCCCGTGTCCGGCCAAGTCGCAAAAGGCAACTATAACTCCTGAAATGAATTCACACCTCAGCGTACATGTTTTAGCTTTTAACAACATCGATTACTTTCTATATTATTTCTTTAGTTAGAACATCATTTGAGTAATAAATTATTACATTTATTACATTTTTAAGCTAACGTGCAATATCTATGAGAGAAATTTTTTCTTTAAATTATCAATAATAAGTCACTCAAACCCGTACCACCCGCTTTGGGAACTATTACACTATCATCACGGCCAGTTGGGCACATACCACAGAATGAAAATTAATTACTCTATATTTTACTTTCAACCAGCATAAGAAAATTAAGTTACGTGAATATTATATTAGATTAAGTAATATCCTAGTTTTATAGAATAATTAAGGCATGAAATAGTTTTGTAAAGAAACTCATTATTGGCTTAGATCTAGAATCCAGACAGAGATAGAAATGGCCCTAAGTCTAGTTTATCCGTAGTTCTAGATCTACATAAATTCCTTTTATTCTCGAATCAGATGATTCGAGAAAATAAAAAGTAAAGATATATTTCAAATATTTAATGTCTATTAAACTAGCCGTGGGTACGCGTTTCACGTAAATTATAGGCCTATATATTTTTAATGTTATACTAGTTTGTAAAAAGTAATTTATAAAATAGTTATTGGTGTTTTACTACAAGTAGATATTGATCAGTAGTTTTATAGATCTAAATCAAATTTAAATGCAATAGCTCATTTCTTCATATTCTAAAATTGGAAGATGACGCCGTTAGTTTTGTGTTCATTCCTTGGTTTAAACATGTAACATGTGACGTCATTGTTTTAGCGTTCTTTTCATAATCATAAACACTTTTCCGGTTGCATAACTTATAATGTATTCCTACATTCGAATGTGACTTTTTTATTTTCTTTCTTTAAAAAATGTAGTTTCTATATTTTTAATACATTCAACATATTATTTTCAACATAAGACCGTATCATTAAGTTTTCCATGTATCGCAGAAGATACTGATCTCTTAGCCTATGGGAAATATGTTCAGAGAGAGAGAGAGAGAAGTGCTCACATGGAATTTTATACATTAGGGTAGAGAGACTCAATTATTTATTGTGTTTTTTTTTGTTTTACTTACTGTTGTATGTTTTTCTTTTAAACTAATTATTTTTGGTTTTTCCTTACATTTTAATATTTCGATATAAGTTGCCTTTATTTATTCCTATACGTTTCAAGTGACGTCACTGTAAATTCTCTGTATTTTTTCAGTAAAACTTTTTTGGTTTTGCTTTAACATCTAGTGTCGCCAGTAAGGCGGTGAAAGTTTTTAATTATTTTTGAAAATGAAGTCTCTGTTTTGAACTTTTATAAATAAAGGGGTGTTTCTACAAATGAATTCATCAATACACTAATTAACGTCTGTAAATAACTTTATATTTGATAGCTTGGGATAAAAGAACATCATTCTCTACATAAATACGTATTTTACAGTTCTACACATAGTGCAAATGCTCTCCTCTAACTGAACAGACAAATAAATATATACAAAAATTTAAATAAAGGAGACGTTTAGAAGTTCATAGATAGGTAGATGGTGATTCTGTTATTATAATTGAAATGTTCCATTGAGTTTTATATTTTAACTCCATAGGCCATTCACGAACAGTAGGGAGATAGACATATACACATAATATAACAAATACTATTTACAATAAAATATAGGTAATATATTTAGTATGTTAAACAATTACTGGCGTTTAAAATTCAAAATATAAAAGTATTAAGTATATGTACTTGGAAAAATGTAGGACTCAGGTTGAGAATAATATGTTAAGAGTTTTTTAACTAAGTAGTTTTTAATGATTTACTGAAAGCTTACATGAACTGGTGACGCTTTGATTCCGGGATTTAAAAACCAAATCATGTTCTTGATTGATGTAGTTCACGGTACAGAAATACAAACCAGCATCTGAACATATAGCTTCATTCAATGTCATTTGTATTTTCATTGTACTCCCGTTTGATGCATCGAATGGGCTTCCATAATAATCAAATTTCCAGTTCCTTTTATCTGACAAAACCTTTAAGTAATTGAAAAACAACAACACAACGTTCAACTAAGATGCTGCCTACTCTGAACAAACATTTCATACAATACTACATACAACATAATTTATATAGTTAATCTATACTGTTAGAGTCTCCTATTTTAAAGTAATTTGTATTACTTTGGCCGAGAAAATTTTACACATTTCATAGCTTACGTCTTGATAAGTAGATCTATAGATCTAAATCAAATTTAAATGAAATAGTTCCTTTTTTTAATTCTAAAATTGGGAGATGACGCTATCAGTGGCGTGCAGAGGGGGGGGGGGGGGCGGGAGGGGAAGGGGAACAGGCCCCGGGCATCCACATCAGGAGGGTTGGGCATCCAACGGGGTAAAATTGTATTTTTTTCTTAGGTTTCACTATCTAGGCAGAATTATCAAATTCACCCAAATGTGTATATACAATCAACAAATGGCACTGATATAGTCATCGTACCGTTCGTGTCGTACAACATTCAGAAAGAAAGGGGCATCGGTGAAGGGTAGTGGTGTAGTAGTCATTGACATTTCCCTAATAACTGTATGTATTCTTTCAATTAATAGAGTATCTTATACTTATTTAAGTATAGTGTAGTTAGTGGCATCTTTAAAGTAATTTTACTTGTATTTACGTTTGTATTTTTGAAGGGCATCCTTACAGCAATTATGCCCACATTCGTTTTATATATTATCGGGGGATATTTATAATGCTTATATTTATTATAGAATGTCTGAAGAACATCCATGGGTTTTGTTGATATTTACAAAATTATAGCAGGTTTAAAAAGATAGATGGTTTGCTCGGTCTAAAATTCTCGGTGCAAACCTTCTATCTGTGCGCGCGCAGACTTAGCTGTTTTGAGACGAGAATTTCGGTCTCAGCCGCGTTCGTTCGTTTTGTCCAATGAACGTGATTTAGTTATGTTTATGTTTTTAAGTTATAATTAACACTTCATAATATTTAGATTATAGTTTAGGGCTCATATTTTAATTATTTGAGTTTATTCTACATTATGGGGTCAGTTTAATTTTTAGTAGAGATGTTTTAGTATGGCTTTATAGCTTTCGACTGTATTCATTATGTCTGTATTTAGCACTAGACTTGTTAACTGTTGAAGGTTATGCTTTATTTATTACATCTTTCTATTCTCACAGTTTATTTTACTAAATCTGGTGGTTGCTGGGTTTGTAGAATGATAATAGTAAAAACAGAAACCTTATTGTCAGATATATTATGAATGAGACATAACACATTAATCACATTAATAATGACTTAATGTTCACTTATTTTACAAAAATGTAACACATAAAAATGTGTTTATTTTTAAAATTTATTCTTTGAATAAACGTCACATAAAGAAAAATTAAAATGGCAACATATTTTTAAAATCAGGGAAATCATCATAAAAAGGTGTGTTTATGACATGCTTTTAGGTGCTCAAATATGACAGCTTTTATCTTTTTTTTTCTGCTCTTGTATAACTTGACAGGGGCTACAGATGAGATCATAATCTTACGACCCTAGCTTAGCAATTGCCAGCTATCTGCTAATTCACTTTGAAGTAGACAGTAGCGTCAGGCTTGTACTGCAGTGCACGAATATCTGTCGCTTTGAATTCTTGATAGGTCTGACTGGTCTTTTGAGAGCGGCTGGTCTCTTGTATGGTAAGGCTGGTCTTTTTGAGAGAGGTTGGTGTCTATTGTCTGTTATGTGAGGCTGGTCTATTGTACGTGACGACTGGTCTGTTGAGAAAGGCTGGTGTCTTGTATGGTAAGACTGGTGTGTTGAGAGAGGCTTGTCTATTGTAGGATAAGACTAATCTTTTGAGAGAGGCTGGTCTCTTGTATGGTAAGAATGGTCTGTTGAGAGAGGCTGGTATCTTGGAGGGTAAGATTGGTCAGTTGAGAGAGATTGGTGTTTTGTATATTACGACTGGTCTGCTGAGAGAGACTGGTCTCTTGTGAGGTACTGGTGCCTTAATGTTACGACTGGTCTGTTGAGAGATGCTGGTGCCTTTACGATTTGTCAGTTGACAGATGCTGGTGTCTTGTATGGTAAGACTGGTCATTTTAGAGAGACTGATATGTTGAGAGGCTGGTCTGTTGAGAGCGGGTGATATGTTGAGAGAGGCTGGTATGTTAAGAGAAGCTGATCTGTTAAGAGAGGCTGGTATGTTGAGAGAAGCTGGTCTGATGAGACAGGCTGGTCTGTTGAGATAGGCTTGTCTGTTGAGACAGGCTGGTCTGTTGAGATAGGCTTGTCTGTTGAAAAATTAATCATAAAAGCATTTACTAAAGACAACTAACTATGTCGTTGAACATGTACGCCAAACATTTTGTAACTTACCATATAAACATTTCTTAACACGTATCTAAACCCTCAATCTAAAGCTAGAAGTTAATTAACAATTATTAAATTTATTTCACATTCTTGTGGAAATATAATTCGAATTATAATGTTTTTATTGATATTTAGATTCTAGAATGAAGATCTAGTTTAAAAGCATTGTGTTAGCCTAAAAAATTGTAAACAAATCAGTTTGTTTATTATTCTTTAAAATGATAAAATGTAATAGAATAGTTGAACATAATTAATCAAATATCCTTACCTATAAGTACTGTGACTGCTGTGCTGTAAAATTGTGTGATTGCGGCGTGCGACTGCGTTCCCGATCAAAAGTGTACTGACAAATATAGCGATATTCGTTTTGCGCCGAGATTTTTAGCGCTAGAAATAATAGGCCGTTTGTTCAAATGATTATATCTCAATAATCATTCTACAGATTTCTCTAATATTTTCAGGCTTTATGGTGAATCATATTGGCTTTTGATTTATGTAAAAAAAGAAAATCGAATTTTTTGAGTTAGACGGTTTGCGACCGAGACCATCGATATATATATATATATATATATATATATATATATATATATATATATATATATATATATATATATATATATATATATATATATATATATATATATGTGTGTGTGTGTGTGTGTGTGTGTGTTACGGTCAAAGCCTGAAGTGCGGCCAAAGCCTGCATTGGCCGGCCAATGTGCGCATAGGCCGGGATGTCCTGGTCAATGTCCTATCTAGACTAAGTTGTGATCGCGTTTTCATTATTCTGGGTGCGGTTTCATTATGAGTAACGTATTGTTTGGCTCTTGTTTGTATAGCATTCTATATGCAATGCGACATGGACCAAAAGGACCGTCAGATCAAGAGACAGACATACCAGATGGCTACTAAAAAGAATAATCCAAATCCTAATGAAAAAAAAACATGTGGCCTGAACTTAAACTAGTTTACATAAAACTAAGGCATAGCCAAAGCCGCTGTTCAGTAGAACGTTCCAACCAAGATGTTCAAAATATGGTTATGACATGGATGTAGACAAATGAATCAGGTTATTGGGCTGAGAGCCTTAAATTTATTCAATTTATGAAAAAAACAGTAATTTCCAACAAGGAATCCAACAATCGCCATACAAAACCTTGTTTGGGTGCAAAGCGAAAGTGGGACTTAGCACTTGTATCTACCAAGAGAGGCTTTCGATAATTTAGCTACTGAGGAAGATCTTGAGAACAATGAAAAAGAAATGGAGGTTGCAATAAATGCAACGACATACTCAGCTAACACATCTACTGTCGTGGCGCAACGTCCAGACCAGCTGCGTGACAATTATAAGGCCAACAGATTATGTGCAGTTTGTGAAAAATATTGCAGTGAAGTCCATTCTTATGGATCCTGTAGCAACGATGTCCATGCAAAATGCGGAATAGCAAATGAAGCAGACATAAGGGTACAGAGGGAATATTTCTTGCAGATTATGTCACAATAAACAAGAAATCATGGACAACAGGTCAGTATCTCATACTAGCTGGTAAACTCAAGGTGCCAAGGGGCTAAAAAAATCAGATACAAAATTTAAACAAGTTGAAGTGGGAGATTGTGTTCGCACCCATATTCTAGATGTTGACAGAGGTCGCGGCGATCCCCAAAGCGTCCTTGCAGCTGTCATGAGCGTCGAGGGCGCTTTCTACAGGCTAGGAACAGAACATGGTGTATTTAAACAACTGTATGCTAGAAGTGAGTTTTCAATTCTTCACGAAAAACTGCTCTTATTGTCGTCAGTTGGCACTGAGGACAAATCACTACGAAACATCGCTACTTCACAATCACTCACCGGCGGCCAAGGCTACATTTATTGTAATTGTACAACCCAATGCACAACAAATCGCAGCAAGTGTAAAAAATAACAATGTAATTCTAAATAATAATCAACAAAGACTTAATTTTACGGTATAAAAAAAACAAAATCTGCTCATGATCTTCTAATTCAGTCGTCCCTAGCCAGATAATCTTATAATTCGGATTGGCCGGTACACCATGGCCAGTCCGCTGATTGGCCGGCCAAAGGCCAAAATGAAGTAAAGTTTCGGACTTTGGCCGGTCAGTGGATGGCAATGTTGGCCAATGCAAGCTTTGGCCGACTTCGGGTTTTGACCGTAACTTTATATATATATATATATATATATATATATATATATATATATATATATATATATATGTATATATATATATATATATATGTATATATATATATATATGTATATATATATATATATATATATATATATATATATATATATATATATATATATATATATATATATATATATATGTTACGGTCAAAGCCCGAAGTCGGCCAATGCTAGGATTGGCCGGCCAATCCGCGCATTGGCCAATATCGCCTCCCATAGGTCGGTCAAAGTCCGAAACTTTGCTTGATTTCGGCCTTTGGCCGGCCAGTCCGCGGACTGGCCATGGCGGACCGGCCAAAGTCTTAATTAGAAGATCATCTGGCTAGGGACGACCGGCCAAAGTCCGAATTAGAATAAAATGAGCAGATTTTGTTTTTTTTTAATGCCGTAAGGATCATGAAATTAAGTCTTTATTGATTAATAATTAAAGTAAATGACAG